ACATTGGCACAATTAGCTTCTAGTTGTTCCAAGAGGAAGGACTATTTAGTTGGAAATACATGTCTACTCAAGATGGGTCCTTCCTTTAACTTACCTTAGACACTGACACTTTCCTGTAGCTGGCACCTGGATCCCCAGTCTGCCCAGCTGCTGGCACTGGCAAGACACACTCACACATCCCCACCCATCCCAGCACACTTTGGATCCTCCCAGTAACACATCTTAGACACTAAGAGTATCTGGTAACTGGCTGTGGACTCTCCAGCCTCCCAGTTACCTTGCATGCCTGCTGACACCCCCACATAGACATAATGGGCTCTGACTAGTTGGCTTTAACACCCAGGCTATTCAGGACCTGGCTCCTTGTTCCTTGGTCTTCACTTGCTTCATGCCCAGAGACACACAGATAAAACAACAGGCCTCTCAGTCAACCCACTGTTGACTGTGGGTGAAGTAAAGACTGTGCATTCACTCCCACAGTCAGTTTGAACCTCTGGATGCCTACTACAGTTGACTTTTGAACCCTCTAATCTCAACAGTATCTGGCCCAGACTTCCAGCTACATGGACTACTGGCACCCAAGCCACTCATCTGACTCCCAGGCTACTTCAACCTGATACTCAATAGCGAGCCCACACTGACACTCACACCTGTGCAGTACAAACACATTCTGTATTCTCATTTGCTGGCTCCACAGGCACATGGGACCCTCAGATCCATACTACATCTACAGATGCAAGCACTTAAATCTCCAGACAAACAGGTATACCAACAGAGTCCCTTTACAAAGGAAAGTAGTTAGAAGTGGAGCATAAACAGATACAGGACAGACTGTGTTGATCAAGAACAAAGCACAACTAGACAATGGTGCTGAGGAAGAGCCTGTTCACACAGGACTAGCCCCTTTTATCCCTTTATCCCTCTATTTTTATGTCTTTTTTCCTCGTTATCTCAATCCCTCACTTTCCTGCCTGTGTTTCTTCATCTAAACACTCCAGAAAAAAAAATAGTACTATACCACTATAGTGGTATAGCTCTTCCTTGCATCCCAGAGTGTGCCTCATACCCCTGTAGGCAGTAGCTTTCTCAGCTTGAAGGGGAACCACTATTCTATTTTAGATGTATGAATTCTAAAATCCTATTTAAACTATTCTAGACTAAGCTCCTAAAAATCTGTAATTTTAAAGTCTTCAGATACCAATTTTTTAAATACCAAGTTTAGGCAACACTAAGCTAGAAGCAGAAGACTTCTTAAGGCAACTGTTCATACTAGAGGTAGGAACAGTGTGGTGTCTGCATCTGATACCTCCAAGAAGCTTTACTGAAGGATTCTTATGCTTCACAAACATTACATTCAGTCATGAATGTTGGGACCTTTCTCTTTTCCCTGTTTTAGCCATTTTTTCTTGTAAGGTAAGTTTGTGCAGGTCAGTATAAATTCAGAAATCTTCTACATAAAATAAAATTAAGATGGAATTGAACAATTCAAGCCTCAGGAAAAACAGGTCACAGAAATGTTTGCAAATTCAGCTGAGTGATGCTTTTAGAAGATGTGTGTCTTAAACCCCAGGAATTCAATGTGAAACTTCATTAAGAAACACACTATTCTTCAAGACTTTTCCATAATTTTCAATGTTCTACTTCTTCCCATTACATCATGCCAAATAAAAGTAACTGCTATTCTGGAATTATAAAAAGATAACTTATCAAATCAAAAAGCTTTATCCATTTTTTCACTATTTACTTACCTTATTAGGTATTTAGTCTTTTGCCATTTCAATAGACTAAGGTATCAGAATAATTTTCATATTCTATACACGTATTAAAACCAGTTTAAGTTCATAAAGTGTTATTAACTCTCTGTCAAAAAATTTAAATGGGGTCACAGAATCACAGAATTGTCAGACTTGGAAGGCATCTCTAGACATCATCTAGTCCAACTCCCCCAGTAAAGCAGGATTGCCTAGAGCACATTACTCAGGACTGCATCCAGGCAGGTCTTGAATATCTCCAGATGGGGACTCCACAATCTCCCTGGGCAGCCTGTTCCAGTGCTCTGTTACCCTCATAGTAAAGAAGTTTTTCCTCATATTTAAGTGGAACATCCAACGTTCCAGCTTGTGCCCATTGCCCCACATTCTATAAAGAGTCTGGCTCCATCCTCCTCGCACCCAGCCTTTAGACACTTATAGGAATTAATAAGATCTCCCCTCAGCCTTCTCTTCTCCAGGGTAAGGAGCCCCAGCTCTCTCAGCCTTTTCTCACAAGGTGCTCCAATCCCCTAGTCATCTTTGTTTTCCCCTGCTGGACTCTCTAGTAAATCCCTGTCTCTCTTGAACTGGGAAGCCCAGATCTGGATGCAATATTGCAGATGTGGCCTCACCAGGGCAGAGCATTCAGGGAGAATGACCTCCCTCTACCTACTGGCAACACTCTTCCTTAGGCATCCCAGGATTCCATTTGCTTTCTTGGCAGCAAGGGCATTGCTGGCTCATGGATAATTTACTATCCACTAAGACTCCCAGACCCCTCTCATCAGAACTGCTTTCCAGCAGGTCCACCACCCCTAACCTATATTCATGCATGGGATTCTTCCTCCCCAGGTGCAGGAACCTACAGTTGCCCTCTGCAGCCTGTCAAGGTCATGCTGGATAGCAGCACAGCCCTCTGGAATGTCAGGTGCCCCTCCCAGTTTTGTATCTTCAGCAAACTTACACTTTATCCCCTTGGCCAGGTCGTTGATCAATATGTTAAACAAGACCAAACTGAGTATTGACCCCTGGGGGACACTGCTGGCTACAGGGCCTCAGCTCAACCCTGCTCCATTGATCACAACCCTCTGAGTTCTGTCACACAGCCAGCTCTCAATCCACCTCACTGTCCACTCATCAAGTCCACTCTTCCTGAATTTCCTAATGAGAATGTTATGGGAGACAGTGTCAAAAGCCTTGCTGAAATTAAGGTAGATAACATCTACTGCTCTCCCCTCACCCAGCCAGACAGTTATGAGGTCATAGAAGGCTAGCATATTGGTCAAGCGTGATTTCCCTTTGCTGAATCCTTGCTGACTTCTCCCAATTACATTATTTGCTTTCACTTGTTTTGTGATGTCCAGAATTATTTTTTCCAACACTTTACCAGGAATGGAGGTGAGAATAACTGGCCTATAGTTCCCTGGGTCATCCTTTTTGATGACTAAAGTGTTGTTAGCACTCCTCCAGTCCTCAGGCACCTCTCCTGTTCTCCATGACCTCTCAAAGGTGGTGGAGTGGTCTAGCAATAACATCTGCCAACTCTCTCAGAATTTGTGGATGCAACCCGTCAGGACCCGTGGATTTATGGATCTCCAGATTGGCTAAGTGGTCACTAACTTGATCCTCCTCTATCAAGTGAAAATCTTCCTCTCTCCAGACCTTATCTCTTACCTCCAGGATTCAAGAGGGTAGCCTTTAGCAGTGAAGAATAACCTATCTGCTTTCTTTATAACATAGACACAGTGATATAATAATGTTATTTTATTTTGTAATACAGACAGAACATCCATTGTGATTCTTTGCTGACTGGAGTTCCAGACTACAAATTTCACACCATTATATATATTTAAAAATATAGGTCATTGCCTTTAAGTGCCAAAACAGAAGTAGAAACGTACAGTAGAGTTGTGTAGTTGTGTTTCTAAGTAAATCAAGGACAGAGAGAGCCTGAGCACTTTATCACTGATTTTTCCATACCTCTTAGTCGTTAACATGTACCCCAGAGTGGTTTTAGCTTCTGCCAGCCAGTACTCTGCCAGATGGCACTCACACATGGCTGGGTAATGAGTGTGCCAGCATTCATTCCCGAAACACAGTATCTATTAAGAGGCTTGCATCAAGTTTGTTGCTCAGTGCCTTGTATAGTCCTTCAACATGATCCTGCCAGGTTTTACACTCTTGGGCCTTTCTAATGTGAGCTAATAAATTTATAATTTAGGTTGAGAGAAACTTCTGAGGGTCACCAAGTCTAGCTTCCTACTCAAAGTTCGCTGAGATGGCAGGAATATGTTTATTTTGTAATAAAGCAAGTGTATGTTTCCAAATTCAACAGATATTAATACACATAAGAAAGAAGTCTTAAATGTAAAAACATTAAAATGAAAACTATTTACACTACACTTAAATAACTTCAGCATGTTTTAAAAATTATTACTCTTCCCTACAGGTAAGTGTAGGGATCACTATATTTCATTCTTTCATTATTAAAGCTTTGCATAGATAGGGAAAAACAGTTACAAAATTAATTTGAAAAAAAGTATTTTCTTTAATTGTATTTCCTTGTTAGTAAGGACTACAAATACATACTAAAAATATGCTATCATATTAATATTTACGAATGTTATAAAATCCCAAACTAGTAATCCCATCCCCAAAAGAGATTTCTCTCTTTAAAGAAACCAGTTTAGATTGATTATATATCATTTACATTTTGTGGAAGAAAGGAAAGGGCAATGCATTGAGTTTAAGCATAAATATTTCAGTTCATTCTACTTCTTGAATCATAGCATAAATTCTCAGTAAAATGGCAACACTGCGGTTTTAAAATAAAATAATAATATTAATTGATTAAGGTATATGAGTTGAAATACTCACTCAGTGATCCTCTCAAGCCTAACCTTCAGGCAAAACAAAGCATTTAAAAATATCATGTAGTAGCCAAACTTTAATCACTTCCTAAGCAGGGGCTTGAAAACACAAAAAATTGCTGTTCCAGTTTGGCTGAATGGTTCACATTATGACATCATGGAAAATTAATTCTGTACAAAGTAGGCTCATTTTAGTACCCAGAAAAACATAGTGACTCTTAAATTTCATAGTCTTAAAGTGAGAAGTAGGTTACAATAGGAATTAAAAAAAAATATTTCCCACGCAACAGCATTTTGTACATTGTACATTTCATCTACCAGACTTGGTTAACTGTAACATACTACCCAAAACACACTGAGAGAAATATAAAATGCCAACCTGTTTTAGGGTCAACAGAGAAATATGGCTGTCCCTGAAGAATACTGTACACCACTCTGGCACTATTTCCATACGTAGGGTCATCTGCATCTGTGGCTGTCACCTGTAGAACAGATGTACCTATATTTACAGGAAAACACAAGTTAATTAATAATAAATACAATTTTCAGACAAATATAGATATTTTATAGGCATTTTTGAAAGCTCTGCATTCCTCACATTCTACAATTGGGAGATTAATAACATTTTCTCAATATGTTATAATCCTATCATAATTTTAAGGGAGAATTATTTATACTAATTTGAAAAAAAAACTCTTTTCCTCTTTCTCTATATATGTATCTGTAACATAATTACATATATATAAACATAAATAGTAACTACATAGCATGCATATTTGTGTACTTTCACACATATAGAAACCGAACGGATATTGCTTAGACATCTGAACAACTCATAGGGACTTCAGGATTATCTTCATCCATAATCCAAATTAAAGCTGATGTACATATTTAAAACAATTTCCATAAACGCCACCAAATCAATAAAAGATACTAGGGAATTAAAAAAATCTAGCTATCAGAAGTCATCAAAGATCTGAAAATTAAATAACTACTAGAATCTTGTTGGAATTCCAATGATGGATCCAAACTAGACAGATAAAGGGTACAAAAGACAAATATTTGTATTCTGCTAATAAATGCAATTAGAAAAATATCCATTTTTAGCATGTCAGTAAGTGGGATAAATTACAAGTAACACTTTGCAGAAAAATATAATGTGTAAGTTCTGCATGGATAGAATAGAAACAAGTGATTTTATATTTTACCATATTTTTCAAGACATGTAATGATTAGTATTTGTTGCTATCATTGCCCAATGCCTCACATAAGAAATCAGTAGATGAAAGACTGACAATTTAATAAAGTTTTCGTCCTCATCCCACTTGTTTATCCTTCCACAGACATTGATTTCTACAGACTCCTTTGGTCCACTATTAAAATACAGGAATAATAACCGCAACAGGCAGCTTTCACGTAATTCTGCATATAAAAGAGGGTTTTTCAGTCAAATTAACCACTGAGGCATCACCTCCACTCTTTGGATGTTCAATTTCACCTTTTAGTTGTGAGAAGTATGTTTTTGAATTGAAGCCCTTGATCTCCCCCACTTACTGTACTTTGATTTGCCTCATGGAAAAGATTCCTCTGGATAAACTAAACCAGGTGACGTACTTTAGCAGCATATCTGATTTTCTCTACCTGCTAATGGGTACTTAGTCCCACAGCAGATGAGAGCTAGTCTGAAATAAAGCTTTCCAAAAACTTACAGTGTGGACATTAGATCCTCAGCTGCAGTTGTTTGATTTTTTATATGAGTTTCCATGCAGAGGACTGTTTGTTAATGTGCACACCCCCTGTGTACACTCAGAATAAAAATACCTAAAATCATGGGGTCTCAGAGTACAGCAAAGCAAACACGTAAATCTTTGCAGGTTTGGATTCTTCAGTTGGAGAAAGCATTATTCATTTGTGCCAGAATGACTTACTTGCTTTTTGTATCTCTACTGAAGACTTAGTAAAAAGCACAGCAAACATGTCTGTAATACTTAAATATAGTGTCTTGTGGTCTCTGAATAGCTCAAAGGTGTACAGGCTTATAGATAAAACATATTCCCACAGGAGATTTAAGTATGCCTTAAGGAATATGAATTTGAATATTAATAAAACCAAGCTGGAGCTGGTAGTTTGTTCATAGTTAATCAGAAGTCTATGGTAAAACTAATTAAATGACTGTATTTGGGTTTATATGGCAAGGTAAACAAATATGAATTAAAGTTAGCATAATTTTCTTAAAATGTTCTACTAATCTATACAGTCATATTACCTAAATACTTCAATGTTATAGCTCTGTAGCCCAGTTTGGCAACAACTTCAAACTTGAGATAGAAAAGCTGCAACCTTTCTGTCTTGTAGTCAAGTTTGTTGCACTCAAGGGTGAAGTCTTGTGCACACTAATTTGTTGTTTCACCTTTATTCATGGCTTCATTCTTTTATTTTGGAGTATTTGGGAACCGCTGAAGTTTAATAACTCAAGTGATATACATTGATTTTATTCTTTCTAATTGTATAAAACCAAATATACCCACCCTATAGATACAGTTAGTCACCTACCAGGGTTTACTACCCAGAGTGCTGGTCGATTTATGTACCTTTTTGTCTATAAATTTTACTGCTTCTGAAAAACAGTTGCTGACAGCAGATTTTGGAATGGATGAACAGATTTTTACTACTTCAGAAGAAGGAAATACCAGAAATACTCAGATTTCATGGTACTTTCACTTTTCAGAGACTTCCTCTTCTAAGAAGAAAGACTAGTGAAAGACTAGTGAAAGGTAGTATCTCACATAAGCAACTGGTCATTTTAGCATGAATGGAATGCTATTATATCTTACAATTCACCACAGTGCTTCTCTAATACATCTGCATCTCTCTCCCGGGAAACACCTGATAATAGTAATTTGGCATTGAATAGTGGCAAGGTCTTCTCTGTCCATCTAAACAAACACTTGGAACCACAAGTTTTAACTCAATCCCCTTCCTCACTTCTCAAACTCTCATTCACTGCAATGTAGCCAGTCAGATGCTTAACTTTCTCACTTTATTACAGAAGCACACTCAGCATCTTATAAGATACACTCATACTGACCTTTTGCCTAACTCTTGTCTGATTTGCTGAGCTCAGAGGAAAGGCAGCTTGTGAAAGATGCAATTTAGAATGCCTTGCAAGAAAAAAGGTAAGGAGGGTACCTTTACTTTCCAGTTACACTTTCAAAGTCAGCATCATTCACCTCATCAACATGACAGACAACCCACAATTTTAAATATATTTGTACCATTCAGATGTATCATCAGTTTTTGATGTAGAGCTATGTGTAATGAAGGATTTAGATGGAAAAGTATACAGTATAGTTGTCTTGTGATTTTTAATGTTAACAATTCTGAAGAAAAGAATATAAAACAAATAATAAGGCTCTAATTTCCCTAGAGATCTCAGAACAGATACAAACATTGGACCCAGAAGCAAACCTTCTGTACTTTCCTCACTAACTCACTGTGAAAGTGTCTGTCACTGTAAACACAAAATTTTTCTATGAAAGCATTTTGACACTCCAGTTAGGCAATAAAAGAGAGCTTTTTCCCCAAAGTGAAGGCTCTGTTTTTTCAGAGTACAACTACCATTCCACATGATTACCTGCTACAGTTTAGAGATTACATATTGGGAATTCTGTTTTCTTAGCTAACACTTTATACAGAGCTGTAAAGTTAGCTCTGTACGCTCTGAACATCACTCTGTAAACTTAGTCTTTTTTTCTGATACCAAAAATAGGGATTATTTCATTTGGGAAATCAAAATCTTGTCTTTTGTCTCTTTCTTTAAAGTATGCTTACAATTAAAATTTTGTAGTTATATATCAAAGAAAAGCTGACAGGAAATACTTCAGTCTGTCTCTCTAAAGACAAATTTTTAATGTTTAATGAGGCAGTTCAATAACATATATGTCTCCTGAAAATGCAATTCTTTATGCATGACTTCCCATATTTTGCTGCACTGTTAAAATTTCAAATGGATCAATATTGAAAAAAACAGTAAAAGAAGTGAAAATAAGGTGGAATTTAACTAACACAGGAATTTCCTAAGTAAACTAATTCTTAAAATTGTCTTAACACACTAACAAGTCAACACAACATGTTTTAGTTTCATTCTACCTTAGAAAATAGTCACTTCACCAGGAAATCAACACTTTGAGTCCAGTGACTATATCACTAATCCACATTCCCTTTGTAGAAAATCTCGGGGTTTTTTTTGTTAGATATATTCATTAGAAGATAAAAATCAAACACAGGAAGAAAAATAAGCATCTTTTTGTACAAATTGTATTTATGAACACCATGAATATTGTCTTTCAGATTATCTGAAATTATGACTACTTCACATTGTAATACCTTGGAAAGAAGTCCAGAAGAGTGCAGTACCCCTATTAAATTCCTAATTTGAATTTTTGGGGAATATTTTTCTTATGTGTTACCTCAACACCAGAAAATGAAATACACAGTATTTATGTCATTTTGAAGCTATCTGAAAATGAGCAGAAATGAGCTTTTACTGATGGCAAATGTTTTTATTTCCTTTTGTGTTTAGATATGGAAGGCCTTCTCATAAACCTTAAAATGGAGCATAGATATAGCTCTCAGTAAGACTGAGCTTTTTGCACTGTGGAAGAAATAATTCCAGATATAAAACCTGGTTCTTGAACCAACTTTTAGGAAAAATGTTCAATAAAGGCAAGAACTTCGTGCCAGAGTGAACACTGTGATCTAGTATTTGGAAAATAATTTTAAAATAAAGTATGTGTACTTTCATGTCTGTGACCTAAAAAAAAGAAAAACCACAAAGGACCTACAGTTTTTATAAGCAGATAAAAAAAGGTACAACTTCTGGGGAAAATATCAGTTAACTTGTCAAGAAGACAGACAGTAACCTGCTGCTGCAACTAAACAGCTTAATGGCACCACTTGCCAGTCAGCATGAGGGCTGTTACACAAACACTGAAAGTTCTTTAAATGACCATGTAAAAGTAGATGAAATTTTTACTGTAGTAAAAGAAGAATCCTGAAGAATCCTTAGGAATTGATAAAATAACAAGAAATTGTTTAGTTATGTAAAGACTCCACAGCTAAATGTAAAAAAATGTGTTTTTTACAGAACTAGTAAAAACGGCATAGGGATTTCCATTATTTGATGGAAAGAATGTATCCTGTGGAAGCAATAATAGAAACAC